GAAAGTCATTGTATTAACACTGGTAGTTCTTAAACTGTGTATGTCCACTGAATTTGTTGCAGCTAGGTGCATACATATAAATAGGGCATGCCACACATTAAATCCTTCTTCATCAGGAGCTGAATTTTCTTATATTTTATTCTTCATCAGGGAAGGCTGCACACACAGCTGCTTATACACATGCCAATCCCCACCTACAATTAAGCAATAAAAACCTAAATAAATACACAACATCTTTGTTGTGAAGCATCTAGAGATCTATTACCACCATAATCCCATGGAAGCGTGGAAATGAGAAGTCAAGCCCACCTTGACTCTGCCTTTGACTCTGAGGGCAGCCCTTGCTGGTGCCACAACTATAGTCCAATATAAACCTGAACTACAACCGTAATATGGCCTTCTTTCCCTTTTCTGTGTACAGTTCCTTAGAAAAACTGTTTTCCCTCCGAAACTAGTAGGTGTCGACATTTGGTGTAGCAGTAGATTGTTTTGACAGGAGTCTGATGAAGGAGAGGGTGAGAGGAGATGAAAGAAGAGTTGAGATTGCATTGCGTGGAGAATATTTTAGCCATTAGAGCAGGGGGTCTCAAAGTTTTTATGTGGCCCGTAAGTGGCCGTGGCCTGACAAACCATGGCCCAGCAGTCACAGCCAACCGCGGCCAGAATTTCCAGCCAGCAAACAGGTAAGGATGCGCCCACCTCCTGGGGTGGGCCAAACCCTGCGCTGCCATGGGCTCTGCAGAAGGAGCCGTGGCCTCTCCGCCAGGCTCTGGGGGCCCGTGGTTTGCCAGTCCGCACCCACTTCCAGTCCGGCAGCCAACCGCGCTGCAGACCAGCAGCCGACCCACCATGGCTGCAGCCCAGGGATTGAGAACCCCTGCATTAGAGCAGTGTTTCTCAACCCACGGGTCACAAGCAAAAGTGGGTCACAAGCATATACGAAAGGGTTGCGAACAGACTTAAAAAATGGATCAACAAATGGATTTTCCTTTAAAGGAGAAAAACATGGGAAAGCGTGGCTTTTCCTTTGCAGGCTATCAAGAGTTTCAGCCTGAAAGGGGCTGCTTGACTCCCCCATGCCCCAAAACTCCCCTCTCTTCTCCACGCACCCATCCCCTGCTGCACATGCTGAGGCCTGGGGGCAGGGGGCAGCAGGTCAGGAGTGAGGAGCACTGGGTGGGTACTGGCCATCTATGTTTACAGATGAGTCCTGGTAGAAAAAAGGTTGAGAACCACTGCATTAGATCTTGCACATGTGTATCAATCAAGGTTGGGGTGAAGAGGTTGGGAGGGGAGGTAGTAATGTCTCCTGTTAGGTGTAGCACCGATTGATTGGTTCTATTCTCTGCCCTGCTATTGACTGCTCAGTGACCCTGGCAAGTCAATCTCCTTGTTCCACACTGTCCCCTGTCTGTGAAACAGGGATAACCACCACCCTGGTACAACATTTTGGGATCCCTGAATGAAGTGTCTACGGAGATTGTTACTGAACCAGAATTAGATTGCTAGATGCACCAAAAATGCCTTCCCAAATGCTTAGTATCCCATCTGAACAAAGACTATATTCTGGACTTCCTATAAAATTATATTCACAGTCAACAAGAGAAAGCAAAATGGTTTGCAGCGTTGTGAATGTCAATGATATGTCACAACCAAATATAGGCATGCAACCTCTGCTCACATCACCGAGGCCAGGGTTGTCCAGCTTCTAAGTGGCCATATCCCCATGGGCCCCAGGCTGCAGTCTGTGTGGTGACACATCACACTGCCCCTTGGGACAGGGGAAGGATGTGGAAGCCAGAGAAGGGTGGGGGAGCCTGAAGCCCCTGCTTGCAGCTGCAAGCAGAGGAATTGGAGAGGGGGTGGTGAGTGGCAGCTGGGTGTCGAGGGGGGCGGTCCGGGGCTTCAGATTAACCCTGCGGGGGCTACATACAGCTGCCAGGCTGCTGGTTGCACAGCCCTGACCTAGGCTGTGCTGTGTACTGTTCTGTAACATGGCACAGCCAAGGAGTAAGTATGTTTTGTTCCTGACAATCCCCAGACATGCATAAAACTTCTCACAAAGGCTGAAGTTCTCATGCAGATTGCATGAACAAATGTCTCTTCTGTTGCCTCACATACAACAGGCCAGGTTTACTTTTCAAAATCAGTGGAGGACACATTCAACCTCCCTGTAGTACCGTGGGGGCCAGCCTTTTCAGTAGGATGCCACAGATTAGCTCAGCACCCTCCCTGAGTGCCACTCTGATCTTCTTCCTCTGCCTGATTTGCTGTCTTGCTTTCCGTTTCCTGCCCTGTGCTACCTGGCTGATATGCTACCTGGCTGATATGCACCTTTCTGCTCCTTGCCTAGATCTGTTGCTCTGCTTTTGGCTTCCTGTCCTATCCATCACTGTGCTGCCCGTCTCCTCCCTGATCTGCCCCATCTCATACACATCCTGCCCATGCCACGTTGTGGTACTCGTGCCACATGTTGGCCATCCCTACTGCACAAGATCCACCCAAGGATGAACAGGCAGTGGTCACACTCTCTATTGCATTGCTATTAGTGGAGGGCACATTTCACAGAATCATAGAAAATTAGGGCTGGAAGGGACTTCGGAAGGGTCCAACCCCCTGCTCAAAGCAGGACCATCCCCAACTAGGTCATCCCAGCCAAAGCTTTGTCTAGCCAGGTTTTGAAAACCTCCAAGGAAGGAGAGTCCACAACCTTTCTGGGTAACCTGTTCCAGTGTTTTACTGCTCTCCTAGTGAGAAAATTTTTGCTAGTATCTAACCTAAACTTCCTTTGCTGCACCTTGAGACCATTGTTCCTTGTTCTGTCATCTGCCACCACTGAGAACAGTCCAGCTCCATCCTCTTTCAAACCCTCCTTCAGGTAGTTGAAGGCTGCTATTTAGTCCCCTCTCAGTCTCCTTTTCTCTAGACTAACTAAGTCCAGTTCCCTCACCATTTTTGTTGCCCTTTGCTGAACTCTGTCCAATTTTTTCACATCCTTTCTGTAGTGGGGGGCCCAAACCTGAATGCAGTACTCTAGATGTGGCCTCACCAGTGCTGAATAATCACTTCCCATGATCTGCTGGAAACACACCTACCAATGCAGCCCAGTATGCCATTAGCCTTCCTGGCAACAAGGTCACACTGCTAGCTCATATTCAGCTTATGGTCCACTGTGACCCCCAGGTCCTTTTCTGCAGAGCTGCTGCCCAGCCAGTCAGCCCCCCGTGGGCACCGCTGCATGGGATTGTTCTGTCCCAAGTGCGGGACTTCGTACTTGTCTTTGTTGAACCTCATGAGATTTCTTTTCGTCCAGTTGTCCAATTTTTCTGGGTCACTCTGAATCCTAGCCCTACACTCCAGCATATCTACTGCTCTCCCCAGCTTGGTGTCATCTGCAAACTTGATAAGGGTGCATTCTGTGCCATCTTCCAGGTCATTGATGAAGACATTGAACAAAACCAGCCCCAGCACCAACCCCTGGGGCACTCTACTTGATACCAGCTGCCAACCAGACATTGAGCCATTGATTACAACTCTTGGAGCCCGATGCTCCAGCCAGTTTTCTATCCACTTTACAGTCCATTCATCCAGCCCATACTTCCTTAGCTTGCCTTGGAGACTGTTGTGGGAAACTGTACCAAAATCCTTGCTAAAACAAAGTACATCACATCCACTGGTCTCCCCATATCCACAGAGCCAGTCACCTCATCATAGAAGGCAATCAGGTTGGTCAGGCATGACTTGTTCCTGGTGAATCCATGCTGACTGCTCCTAATCACCTTCTCCTCCAAGTGCTTAGAAATGAATTCCTTGAGGATCTGCTCCATGATTTTTCTAGGGACCGAGTTGAAGCTTACTGGTCTGTAGTTCCTTAAGTAGGCTCTACATAGAAGTCCTGCTTGTAATAACACATTACACTTACACCATACTAAATCTGTGAAATATTAAGTGGTGTTAAAGTTAAAATATGCTGCAGTAGTTGCACATGAATGGTTAATCCTGTTCCTTATCCAACTTGCCACAAGGGGGCTGTTGAGCAGGGTTGTGGCTAGACGTTGAGGGTGCGGGGGGAGTGAAGAGAAGGAAGCTGGGAGTGATGCATCTTGGGGTGCTGGAAGACTGAAAATTGCTTGTCTTATCTCCGTGAAGCAGACTGGAGTTACTCTAGCACAAGCTAGGTAGCATGGGCCAGTGTTAACCCTCTTCTGAAGGGATGCAACTAAGATGCACTTACTAAATGTTAAGATGCTTTAATATGATTGCATTTTAAGTGCCCTTCGTATGGTCTAAATGTAATGTGTAACTTCACCCTAAGGAGCACCACTGCACTGTTACTTTTAGCAATGGATGCCAAAAGAGTTTTCTTCTTTAAAAGATACCTCCTTAATCTCTCTGATGCTTTAGTGAGCTGGGCTAAATAATGAGCACAGTTTCCCTTGACATGATAGAATCATAGAAAAGTAGAACTGGAAGGGACTTTCAGAGGTCACCCAAGTCCAACCCCCTACCAGAGACAGGATCATCCCTATCCAAAACATCCTGTACAAATCCTTTGTCTAATCTATTGGCAACCCAGACAACCACAAAGCTTGATGCCCTAACCTGCCACAGGTAAGGCAGGGGGACAATGGCAGTCAATGTCCTGCTGTTACGAGAGTTATTAAAATATGCAAGGAAGTCAAAGAAGAAAGGCACAACCCGCTAAAACCAAGGGCATAAAACAAGTGCATGCAAATTTATAAGCGTTCCTTGCGGCCAACATTTTATTTCGTAATATTTGTCTTGAGACAATCCCATTTACAGATGTCAGTTTTTATACCTCTGTCTAGTCATGTGCCTAGAGATGGAGGATGAATATTAGATTTCCACAAGGAAATTATGGTGATTACACACACACACACACACACACACACACACACACACTTTACCTGCAAAGCCAGTCTCAGGAGAGCAAAATCCCAAGTCTTTGGGTGGTGCACTAAAACCTGCATTTCACTCACCAAAACACATCTCTTCTGGAGATCCATTTGTCCCAATACAGGTGTAAGCAGGAAGCACCAAATGTTCCTGCACTGCGATCAAGCTGCACATGTAACTTGTCCTAGGACTTGATGCAAGAATGTAGCCCTGTTCTGTTTGCATATTTACTGCAAAACATTTGTCACCAATTAAGGAATTTTCCTTAGTTTTAGTCAAAACAAAAACATTTGTAAAGGCCTTAAAACTTGCCTTGGTAAGCAGCTACTCATTCAGCACGTTGTGAAGAGCATGGGGGAAGGACTGCAAAAAAAAAAAAAAGAAAGAAAGAAAGGCAGTCACTTCCGATAAGCCAAAAGCAGGCCAACTCTTCAGCAAATGTGCTGCCCACAAACGTTTCTGCTGCTGCTGCACAGAAAACCTGGCATGACCAACAAACACGCTGTGTGTTAAATCATTCCTCAGTTGATGTAATAATGTACAAACTATCATAAACCACTGACACAACCTCACAAAGTTTGTAATCTGCGCAGAGACAGTTCTTCTGTTACGTACTAATCTCCCTTATGTCATTGCTAAGAAGCATTTATCTGCTGCTGCTCATGGGTAGATTCAGGATTAAGCAAAAGGGGCTATGACAGATGCCACCAGCACCACCCTTCAGACTGTGGTGAAGGGCAAGGCACTGCTGGAGCCGCTGGGCTGGTGGGGGGCTAAGCAAGGGGCAGAGGTGGGAACGAGGGACACGCCTGCTTCTGCTGTCCCTGGTTGAGGTCAAAACCTTCCTGCAGTTCTGGGGCTACCCCATGCCTGCGCCATCAGGGGACAGCGGTAGCAGTGAGCAAGTCTCACCTCCCTGCCCAGCTCCTGACGTCCTGCCAGCTGAGAGCAGGGACAGGAAGAGGGAGCCTGCCTGCGGCCTTCACCGTCACCCCAGCCAAGCCTAGCGCCCTGGGGGACCCTGCCCCATTCCTGGGTCAGCCTGGCAGAGCCAGCCAGCATGGACAACCACCCAGGGTGGATCAGGGGGGCACCACACATACACAGACACATGCACCGTGCCCTGCCCAGCTGCTCATGCCAGGGAAGAGCCATCAGGGGACTTCAGTGGCAACTAATCCTGGGGGCTGGCCAGCCTCCCCTGGCTGCACCCAGAGCTGATTGGAACTGGCTGGCTGGGGCAGTAGGACAAAACCCCTGGGGCAGCAGCAGTGGTCGTGGTGGAAGCTGCCAGGCAGCATGATGGGCTGGAAGGAGGATGCTGATAGCTGGGCCCAAGGCAAGGCGGCAGTGCCCAGTGAGAAGGTGGCATAGCTGGGTGGTCCTGACTTGCGTACCAAAGGCTTTGCTATCATTGACCTGCTGGGCCTGGAGGCTGAGCTGCAGCCCCCTCGGCCACCACCACCACTGCTGAGGGTGAGGGAACGGGTGGGGGTGGTTGGGCGGTGGGGCCCTGCTGCTGGGGCTGGGCTTCCTGTGTGGGCAGCCCTGCCTGCTACCCACCTGCCCTTCCTGCCACTCCATGTGGAGTCTCCACTGCCCCTCATCTACCTCCCCCATGGCAGCCCCACCCCCTGCACAAATGCCCCATGCCCTCCCATATATCCCTCACCTTCTCCCCTGCCTCACACGCACCCCATGCACACAGTGCCAGTGACTGGTGGGAGGGCAGGGGGTGAAGGGTGCCAAAATAAAATTCCCCTAAGGCACCATTTTTCTTAAGGCAGCTCTGCAGCCAGGGACAGTGGGAATGGCAGGTGGAGTCACCCTTCCAGTAGCTGCTCCTTGTCTCTCAAGTGTGCCCTGTGGGCCCTAGCAGTGCCTGGATGGTCTGACTTCAGCACCCGTGATGTTACCTGACATGGTTTGAGCTCTCCTCACTCCAGCTCCTGCTGCTGTGGTGCAGGTACATGCATAGGCCCTGGCTGCTGCAGCTGAAAGACAGACTTCCCATTACCCGGTTGCAGAACGCCGCTGTCCAGTGCCCCCTCCAAAATCAGCTTCTGGAGCTCCCACCCCACTTATTTCCTACCCCTGATATGCTACTGTCCCTGAGGGCACTGTTGGTGCCTGCCACTTTAAGACCTGAGCCAAGCAGCCAGCAGGTGCTTGATTGTGCCAGCCATTTTCAGATCTTTGGCCGCCTGTAGAAACAGAGCATTATGCTGCTGGCCAGCCAGGCAGTAACATTGCCTGGCTATAAGGCTACTTGGAACATCCTGGAGGTAAGGAAGGAGCTGTAGGGGATGGTCTGGAGGCTCCTGGTCCTAGTCATGTCCTAAAACTGCACCCTGCTGGGAGTGGGTGGTCTGGTGGGGCTCTCAGTGGTACAGGAGCCCCTAGGAAGTGCCAGGCCAGTTACCACCCCGGTGAAAGGCAGCTTGGGGTGCCTTAATAACCCCAGCTCACACAATTGGGTGGGTTACCTCTAGTAGGGACCAGGAGGTGGACCCTGGAAAGAGAGAGTGGGGCAAGAGGCTCAGAGGCCTGACAGAGTACCCTCGATTGGTCAATGCTGGGGCCAGGACCAGAACGGTCAAAAGGGCCAGGGGCCCACCGTGAGGGATGCCCAGAGCTGAGGGCCTGGGGTTCTGACTGGCCTGGGAGGTGAGGTCAGGGCTTATGTGGCCAAAGGTCCTGGGGGAACCACGTCTGAGATGGGAAATAGTTTCAGGGAGCTAGACAGCCCCAAATGAGGGCAGAGTAGGGCGCCTGAATGGAGGGGTCAAGTTTGGAGGATTCTGGGGCCCAATGTGGAGCTGGTGAGACTAACATCTGTGGATGCCAACTGCAAGCCTTGGGCTGCAATGTAGGGGAGAAACAGAGCTATAGATAGCACCCCCTGGCATCAGGGCAAGAAATGGGCAGCCTCCTGCCTAATTAAGATAACTAATTAGATAACAACAAGGCATGGCAGGTGAAGGTGGGTGGGTGGCCCAGAACAGGTGGGCAGGGCATTGGTAGATCAGCCCCGGAGAAGGCCCTCCTGTTACAGTCCTCCATGCAGGAGCCCACCAGAATAGCAGCAGCAGCAACTGGAGTGCAGGGAGCCCAAGCTGCATCATGCAACACCACTGTTGCTGCTGTGGTTGGCTGGCACAATATTCTCATCCCATCCCCACCCGCACTCCACCCTTCCCAGAGACCAGAAGTAGCTGCCTACATCTCTGCCTGGCTGGTACTAAGTTGGAGAGGGCCTGAGGGCACTGCGCTAGCTTCCCTCACAGCCACATGGCCTTGCCACCCCTCTGAAGAGCTGGGACCTGCCTCCCTACACCAGGGGTATGTGTACCCCTAGGGATGCTTAGGCTGTAGGGGGTGTGGGCAGGCAGGTGGGCAGGGATGGAGGACACCCCAGGGCATGGTAGCAACATCTCCCCTGGTACCATGCTATACTTTCCTTCTTACCCAGGGGAGGGAGAGGGAGAGGGGGAGGGGAGTGCTGGGTGCCACTGGCCCCACGTAGCATACCATGGTGCCTCCCCGCCCCTCCACCTCAGCTTGTTCTCTGTGCCTACTCCCCAGAGCAGAGCCGGGGGGAGGAGGAAGGGGGACTGAAGGTAGCGGTGCCTCTTAGCAGGCTGCATGCACACTGCCCGGCCAACCAGCCATGAGAGGCGGGTTTGCATGCGGCAGTCACCACTGCCACCACCCTGCACCACCGCTACTGCTGCCACACCTCACATGGTTTTCCTGCAGCCGGTCGCACATGTGGCTCTGCAGGCTGCTGACACACCTTGCGTGCCACCCATCAGCAGCCCATAGAGCCACAAGTATGACTGGTCATGGGAGTGGCATGGGGCGTGAGAGCAGCAGTGTGGGGCAGTGATGGCCGCCACGTGCGAGCCGTGCCCCCCCCACCCCCCCATCCAGCCTAGTGGTGTATGTGCAGCCTGCAGAGGGGCACTGTTGCCCTCGCCCCTCAGGCCCTGCTCCTGGGAGCAGGCAGAGCCATAACCCCCCCATCAATTCTTGATCTGGCCCCCCCCGGCCCCGTCCCCCCCCACACACACACTTACCTGCTGGGGGGTGGGGTGTGTCCCCTGCTTACCTGGCCACAGCAGGCACATGGCATCATGTAGCTCTTGGGGCGGCAGGGTGCAGAGTCCAGCCTGCAGCAGCAGCAGCTGCTTCCGCCCCTCGTACAGATCTGCCCCCTGGACCTCTACCAGGGTCCACGCAGTGTCAGGAACTGCCCCCCACCCCCTGTGCCTCCCAGATGAACCACTCTTGTGACTCCATCCCATGCTGTGCCCCAGCTGTGCAGCATCTGCCCCTGCCCTGGCCCAGGCTCACTCCCTCCTCTGCCACAGGGCCCTTGATCTGCCCCTCCCCTGCATCTTGAAACCAAGAAAAAAAAATATATAAAGGGGTACATGAGCTGAAACTTTGAGGCAAAAAAGGGTACACTTCTTAGAAAATGTTGAAAAACCCTGCCCTACACCATTGGCAGGAATCACAGGGCATATGAATGCACTAACACATACCCGTGGATCTGCTCCTGCTGGTGCACAAGGACTGCTAAGGGTAAGGGAGCTTCTTCAACATGAGGCACAGGATCATATGTAAGCTAGAAGGGAACTTGCCCCTGCATGCTAGAGATCTGATGCCAATTGCATTCAAGTTAACAGAGCCTCATCCATTCCAGCCAAATTCTGGCCCTGTGTTTCTTCAGAAGTTCTCATCAAGGACAGCTCCCAGACTTTGATAGGAGACGTGCTTGTCAAAAGAAGCCCCCAGATTTGTAAATGTGAGTTTTTGCACACACACCATGGACACTTGTGTGCATACCAGCTGCCTACTAATTTGCCAGTTCATCTGTGGACCAAAATCCCACTTCTAGCTTATTCATATCAAAGAATACAGTTATTTTGAGGGCAGTTAGTTATACTCAGCAGACACAGGCGTCACAAATGAATATATTTCCTCCTAACGTTCTCTCCATTACCTTTTCCAGTGTTTTGTTACCTGTTTGAATCCCTCCTGTAATTAGACAGTAAATGCTTCAGGGCAGGTCCATATCTAATTAACGTTTCCATAATCTACTGAAAAATAATAAATAACA